CACAAAGGTTAGATACTTTGCTCAAGGACAAACAAGTGGGGGAACCATGAGTCCCGAGTCAAACCAGGCCACCAGGCTCCAGAGCACACTCTGAACCACCATGCAGCCACCTCAGCTCCCACTAGCAGCGGCACAGGAGGCAGTTTGCAGTGGGCTAAGGAGTGTGGCATTGACAGTGTAAAAGGAAAAGGAGGACCTGCCACTCTTTGTGACCTCTGAGGCTGAAGAAAGGATAGCAGTGCCTGCTGCTCTGAGTAAGGGTTTCTCTCACATTAGGTCCCCAGATCTACAGAAACTATAAAAGCATGCCTCATGCATCACTCTTATTTTACGAATAGTTTTGATCATGTCTCTACCAGCTGCTTTGACTGAATTCCAGTGTTATTATTGACTTAAAATAGCCCTTGAATGAGAAGGAAAAAAAAAATCTGACTTTGACAATAAAAAGCATTGTGGTATTCCATCTTGCTTTCAGTTTTAAATAATTCTATAAATCATTCCTATTTCCTTTTTTTTTTTTTTTAACAAGTGTTGAAATAAGGTCCTGCCCAAGGGAGGTGGAAAGGCTCCTGTATTTGCATTGTAACCTGTGTTTTGAATAACAAATGCACAGGTGCAGAATCCACCAGCAAGAGCAAAGTCAGGCAGACATTCCAGAAATAAATGTGTCTGAGTGATGAACTGGACCGACTAGTGTCTGTACTGTTGCAGAGTGTTGCTCACTCTTAAAGCTCACACATGTTAGGTTTTTGGCAGATTTATTAATTCCTTTAATTAAAGAACCAAGAGGAGATGAATAACAGAACTATTTTGTTCCTAATTGATGCAAATCTTAAAAACACATGACTAAAATCTGCTCCCAGAATCTTTCATCACAGAAGTTTTTTAATTTGATATAAAATATGTACATATATATTTATCTTTTTGTTTCTTAACATTTTTTATGGATGGTGGTTTTGCCTAACCAAAATTCTAACTCTACTCATTAATTTTCTACACATTGAAAATAAAATTCCTTTTTTAAGCATTTCACTTTGAAAGTATGAGCCTAGGATTCCTGGGGACAATTCAGCACCCTTCTGGGATGCTGACAATCCAATTTAAGAGTACAGAGAGAATGAATCTCTTTTTTAAAAACTTTATTGCTTTTTCTTAGTTAATTCTCTCTTGAAGTTTATTCTTCATAAAAAAAAATAAAACGGGACAAATATTTGACCACTTAAGGCATCAGGATAGTTTCTTACATTATCCAGTAGTTGAAGTTGGACCACAGCCTGACTTCATATCACCTACAAATTGCCTGTCTGTGGGCAGTGAAAGAGACTGCAAATACAAACCAGACTGTTCAGGTTGAATAGTGCATAAAAAATATAAGAAAAGATATTTTTTTTAAAAAAAACAACTTTTTAACAAGCAGAGTTAATTTGGAGGTGCTTTGCAAGGAAACTGAAATAAATAAGATGTTGGCAGGAATGCTTTTTGGATTTTAACACTGCTAAGGAGAAGATTCTGGACGCCTGTTAGGATTAAAAAAAACAACTTTTTAACAAGCAGAGTTAATTTGGAGTTGCTTTGCAAGGAAACTGAAATAAATAAGATGGTGGCAGGAATGCTTTTTGGATTTTAACACTGCTAAGGAGAAGATTCTGGACGCCTGTTAGGAACATCCACAATGTTGTCACAGAGTCTGATTAGAATTTGCTTTTGAAGCTGGTTCACTGTTTTGGAGGAAACATTTATAAAAGGGTACTTTGGGCTGTGCAGGGCACAAGAGTGTTTTTTTGCCAATTGAAAACGGGACTATTCCCCATGCGGTTATAAGGCAGTCATTTTATAGTCCATTGGCCAGAATTGCTGTGTCGTCAGCCAACCTTTTCCTGTTGAACATCCAGGCAGTACTACTGAGTACCCACAGACCCGCAGCTTTTACAGGAATTGAGACTCACCAAAATGATACTGGTAAACGGCTGGAAACGTGGTAATGTTTTCATTAGCTCTTCAGTGAATTTTTGTTTCAGAAGTATATCTCCAGAGGTGTTCACTTTAAGCTGACACCTGTAGTCTCTTGAACTAGTGTGAGGTAATGAGTCACCATGAATTATAATCATAGTGATAACAGCTAGCAACTAAATGAGTGCTTACTTTATACCAGGAGCTTTTCTAAGCACTTTACCTGCGTTGCCATATTGGATTTTTACACACCCTAAGCGGTTGGTCATATTATTGTTCCCCCACCAAGAAGAGGAAACTGAGGCACAGGGAGGTGATGTAATCTGCCTAAGGTCACAGAAGCCATGCTCTTTATCCTCCATGTCCTTATCCAACAGTCTCTCTAAGAGAAGCACTGGCACTGATAAATGTGAGTAGGAAAATTGGCACCTGCAGATGGCGAATCATCGTGAAGACTTACTTTATCAGGCTGCCTGGGTGGGTACCATTCCCCAGCTGCCATTTTAGTATGATTGAGAATTAGAAAGGCTAAGACCCTACTACCACTTGTTTCTATATATGTATTTTAAAAAGCATCCAATATTTGTTAGTGTTTTCTTTGAAGAGGCCGGGTCCCTGGCACCCCTAACACGAAACAATCTTGCTTTCTTCAACTGTCTGTGCACCTGTCCGGGAGGTAAGGCATGGATACCCCTCCATGGAGAACAGCCAATGGGCCTAATGCCCAAACTCTGAGGCAGTGGTATGGAGTGCTACCTATCACCCTGTCCTTTGTCCTCCAGCCTTGACCTCGCTCCTCCTTAGGTTAGGGAGGCTGGTTCACATTACTGTCAGGCCACTCTCAGATCTCTTGGGTTAGAAAATTCCATGGCCTAAATCTCTTAAATAATAAAATTCTACTCTCAGCTCCTGCCTGCCTCCTTTCTGAAAGCACTCGACGTAGTATATTGAAAGTTGAAAGAGGAACACTGGAATAATTCACACTCATTTGCAGCCCACTCTCAGTTTTCCTCACTGATGGCAAAGATGCCCAAGACCCTGGGATAACCATATATTTTGAAGGCCGCATATGCCATAGTTCACAATGGTATCCTTGAAGTGGCAGCCATGGGTATTTGAATCCTCAGTCCTGACCCCCTCTTTAGTATTCACAAATATCTGATCAAAAAGCAGGTGGGCTAAGGGAGGATGAGAATTCTAGGTAATTGATCCCATCTAAACAATTATCTATAGGCAATGATCCTCCAAGGTATTTCCTAACTAGGGTATAGGGACATATTATCATGTTGTTCAGAGACAGCTGTTCTGCCTACCAGATTGTCTTACCTTCTGGGCCGTTTTGACTTCCTGAGCAGCTTTGTGTGAGAAATGCCAAATATTAAAAAGTCTATTGTAGGGAAGAATTATATACAAACTAGTAGAAAAAGAAATTTATCATAGAGGAAGACAGCCAGTTTTCAGGCACTCTTCCTGAACACTCTTCCTCTGTAAGACTGGCCTGAAAGCATGAATCTTACTTGTTGGGAAGGCTCATCTCGCAAAGACCAGGAGACAGAGATCGCTGCAATCAAGAGGTTTTTATTCCAGCATGCTGGGGTCTCTCCATCTTCAGGACAGAAGCGGCCCCGAGCTCTTAACACAAGCACTCTTTATACAGTTTTTTTTTTTTTGACAGACTTTTGCAACAGGATGAGTTGTATACTGCTTATGGGTTATCTGAACAGAAGCGGCCCCGAGCTCTTAACACAAGCACTCTTTATACAGTTTTTTTTTTTTTTTTTGACAGACTTTTGCAACAGGATGAGTTGTATACTGCTTATGGGTTATCTGAGGCGACCTTTAGATTTATTGGTGGGCTTTAGCAGGCTGGCACCCCGATAAGGAACAGTGTATTTCCCAATCATTTATCTTCCTTGTGGTCTGGCCAGGTGGCCTCTAGATAAGGAACTGGTCAGTTCCTGGATCCGGGTGGTGATTACTCTCTTCCTGGAATTTAGCGTGCCTGGGCCTGCCTTGACTATGCCTGGCCTCTACATAACCCCTTAAAAGCTGCTTTACTTAAAATGGCATTAGTTATGTTTTCTCGTTTTTAGCAAGCATTAGTACAGAAGCAAATTGCGCATGTTAAAGTTATATTTTTCTCTACACCTCCACCTGGGAAGGGTTGTGAGTGCCCCTCCACCTGGGAAGGGTCGTGAGTGCCCCACCTACACTCTGAAGCCATTTTGACTGATTCTGGTCTGGACTTTGTCTCTTGTCGTTTTCCTTTCAGAGCATTGGTATGTCCTTTGTCTGTCTGCTTCCAACTATTTTTAATTCCCTCACTTCCCCACCGTCTGCTGAATGCATAATTAAGCATTAAGTCCTATTCTTCGTTGAGATCCTATCTTTTAAAAAGATTGCTACAGGGAAATAAGTGAATGGCAATTTTGAAAGACAGCTTTGAAAAGGAGACCACTAAACTCCAGCAAGATTAAGATTTTGAGAATAGAATCCAGGCAAAAATACATTCCAGCTGAGTCTTTGTGCTGAGAAGGGGACTACTGGTTGTTGGTTTCTCTGCTTTAGTGCTTAAGACTGTGGACACTGGAATTGATGGCATGGGCCTCTGTCACTTACGTGCTATGCAATACTGAGCAAATTACTTCACCTCTGTGTGTCTCAAATTTTTTCATCTGTAAAATAAAGACAATAATAGTACCTCACTCATAGGTGGTTGTGAGGCTTAAATCCAATTGAATCACTTAGCACCTGGCACATGGGGAGGTTCAATAGATGCTATCAATGAAACATTCATGGAGGGTTAAGAAAAGATGTGCTTGCTTTATATTTGCATAAAAATCTCATCTTGGAGCCATTGTAATAACCCTTCCTGCATGTGGTCTAGTAATAGCTTCAAGTGTTTTTACTTGAATTTTTCTACTATCAGCCACTCCCTGGGAGGTATGCAGGAGCCGTGTGTCTGCATATGGAGAGCTCTCTTATTCTGTGTGGATGAGATTTACAGACTGTTTGGGCTGACTGGCTTCCTGGTTCTTTTTCTCACTCAGGTCCTGGAAAGCTTCAAGATCATGGACTATAGCCTTTTGTTGGGAATTCACATCTTAGACAATTCCCTCAAAGAGAAAGAAGAGGAAACCTCACAAAATGTGCCTGATGCTAAGCGGCCTGGGATACAGAAAGTCCTCTACTCAACAGCCATGGAATCCATCCAAGGTCCAGGGAAATCTGGAGATGGGATCATCACAGAGAACCCAGACACGTAAGTGCGGCCACATGCCCGCCTGCCTCTTGGCTGTAGCGGTCCATGGCACTGGGTAATTATAGTCGTCCCTTGATATCCTTGGAAGAATGGTTCCAGGATCTCCCACAGATAACAAAATCTTCAGATGCTGAAGTCCCTGATATAAAATGGCATAGTATTTGCTTATAACCTACACACATCCGTATACTTTAAATCATCTCTAGATTATTTATAATACCTAATACAATGTAAATACCTAATAATGACAAGAAAAAAAGTCTGTACAAGTTCAATACAGACACAACCATCCTTTTTTTTTTCTATCCATGGTTAATTAAATCCACAGGTACAGAACCCACAGATGTGGAGAGCTGACTGTACCTGCAGTCACATTCCCCTTACGGAGGCACTTGGGTAATAGATTCCTATGTGGTGCTAACATGGGTTAAGCTGACTTTTATTTCTTTTCATCTATGAATTAATGCATCTTGGACGTGACCAGCACCATTGTGCACACAATATGCACAAAATAGCCATCGGCCTTGTCTTCCACTCCAGCACCAAGCCCCTCCCCCCTTCCCTTTACGAGAATCCTCGTGACTTAAACAGAAACACTTTTGCTTCTGCAAAGGTGCATTTCTCCACCCTGGTCACATAGTTTCCACATTAGCCTAATGCCCCTCCTTGATGGTATCAGCCAGCCCTTAGTGCCCTATATAAGCTCTACCACCCCACACCTGGTGCTGTTCCCCATTTTGAGGGCAGCCCTGGGCTGCCCACCACTTTGAGTGCACCCTGGCAGATTCTTTTCCTTTAATAAAGCTTGATCGGTACCCAGTGTCTCTGCTCCCTTTCTTTCATGAATAACTGGATGAGAGGCAGTTTCCCGAGTTGTTGTTCTTTCATCCTCTTTCATCCACGTGGTTTCTTTTATCAAATGGCTCCATTTTTTAACAATGGCTAATGATGTTTTTACCCCATTTGCTATGCATTCAAAACATCTACCACAAGAGGGGAGAAGAAACTTTGAATTTGAATAATCATGTTTTTGAGGAAATTCACGATAAGAATGATGTTCACAATTCAGAGCTTTTCATGTGTATAAGGGGATTCTGTTGTTCCAGTTCTGCATCCTGGCAAATGTGGTCTCTTGCCTCAGCCACATGTGATAGTAACTGCAGGATTAATTTGCATGTGTAAAGTGCATATTGATTAACAAACAATGACACCCAAAGAAAATTATTGAAATGGTTGACTGCATCACATGTGTGTACTAGCTGGGCCAGGTGACTGAAAGAAAGAGATCATGTTCCATGGCCATTGGTGCCTGCCTTCTAGCAGTCTCCAACAATGACTAAACTACTGGCATCTTTCACTTTTATAAAGGAAATTAACACATATTAAATCTGTTTTTAAAATTCTTGCTTGCAAATCTATCAAAATGTCTAATAATCAAGCAAATTATTCTATATTCTAAGTACTACACAGCTATTAAAAATCATATTGACATTGAATATGAGGAAAAGTTCATCATTTAACAGGTGAAAATTTTAGTTTATAAAATACAACAAATTATATAATCCCCTCTGTGGATTAATGAATACACACACACTCAGGGGATCTTCAAAAAGTTCATGGAAAGATTTATAATATCTTTTAATTTCTTTTTTCCCCATGAACTTTTTGAAGTACTTTCATATACTGGAAAAGTACATACCAAATGTTAATAGTAGTTCATACCAAATGTTAATAGTAGTTATCTTTGTATCTTTTAATTTCTTTTTTCCCCATGAACTTTTTGAAGTACTTTCATATACCGGAAAAGTACATACCAAATGTTAATAGTAGTTCATACCAAATGTTAATAGTAGTTCATACCAAATGTTAATAGTAGTTATCTTTGCATCCTAGGAATGGATTTTTTAGACATATTTTTTCTTTGTGCTTTTCTGTATTTTATTTTTTAAAAAACAATAAATATGTATTACTCTTTTGATCAGAAAGTGTTGCATTTTTAGAAAACAGTATTTTATAATGCTCTATAAATTCATGCTCATAATATAAAAATAGGAATAATTTCTAAATTGGATTTTCCCATCCACCTCTTCAAAGTTGACAGCTATGATATTATTCTCCTTTGTGGGGAAGTACATCCTTCTGGATTCCCAGGAAGACTTTAACTGATGCCCCACCCACCCCCCAAAACAAAATGATGAAGGGGGAGATAGTCCAGAATTCTTAAATATTATCTCTTTTTTTTTGCAGTGTATTCATTGGAAAAGAATTATAACTTCCTATTCTTATATTATAAAATATTTTCTCTTTTGTTCTATCAACAGAATGGGAGGCATTCCAGCCAAAAGCCATAAGGGAGAAAAACTACTTTTATTTATGGGCATTATTGACATTCTACAATCATATAGGTAAGAAATTTTGGGAAGTGGTCTTTTGTTATTTCAAAATTAATCAACAAACGGTTCTGAAAATTCACCAAATGGAGCAATTTTACATTCTTATTTGTATCTTTCTGTCTGCTTAGGTTAATGAAGAAGTTAGAACATTCCTGGAAAGCTCTTGTTTATGATGGGGTAAGTGACTTATGTTCCTTGTTAAACTGTATATATTTCTGATTTCTCAGAGACTGCAGACTGCATCTAGGAAACTGGGTCACTAGACTTTAAGAGGAGAAGAAACAAAGGTCTTTATAAACTCAGAATCTTCAGCTAGCAGATTGGTAAATAAATGAAATCCAGCCTAGTGAGTAGGTAGAGGCACTGTTTCTACGTGACATCTAAAGGACTCAATTATGAGATCATGATGAAGAAAAAGAGGAAACTTTTTTCAGAGGCACTGGGAAGATCAGTAGGGCAGCCGAAATGAAGTCCTCACAATACCAAGCCCCAGAGAGGTCTGAGCCCTGACTTGGATGGTAGACAGCTCTGGATGTGATGTCTGTGTTCGCCACATGACTAGCCACGTGACCTGGGCACATTGCTTATTATGCAGCCTCTCTTAGCCTAGTTTCTCATCTGTAACAGGGAGGATAGTAATCGTACCTGCCTGATGTGAGGATGAAATAAGATAATGCACATCATTGTCCAGTGCAATGACCATTTGCACAATAAGGATGTAGAACATGAAAACATTTAAGTTGGTTTGGATTTTACACACAGACATTTGTACATGCTGCCTGATGTGAATACGTCTTAATTGGCATAACTGAAGAAAAAAATCAGTTGTCAAGGAGCAGTCTCTGTGTCTCTGTCACACACACACACACACACACCCATCTAGATGTTACATTTGAACTCCCTGCTGCTGACGGAACATTTATTGGCTTAAGCCTTCCTCAGTTAATAACTTGAAGTAGCACTTCCAGAGAATATATTGGTCAAAGATTTGGTCACACATTTCTTTTTAAGATGTTAGCACACTCTTTCCTTTGAAGGAGGATATGTGATAGGTGCTGTTCTTCCTTTTCCTGGAAAAGAACATGCACTTTCTCAGTTCTGTGGAAGACTGTTAATAACCTTTGTGCATGAAAGAACTGCATTTTGTCCACAGGCTAAGGACTCACCTCTGTCACAAAGTGCTTTTAAACAGCGGGTTCACAAATTTGTTTCTAAGAATTAACTTCAGTCTTATTCAGATCAAAGCTTCCTCCTATGAAAGGTTGAGATGGTAGGTTAATTTTATTTATTTTTTCCAGCTGAGAAAGGTAGGGACTACATAGTACCTTGAACATGGAAGGGAGAGTAAACACCTTCTGTTTCTTTCCCACTTCCTGAGACACCTGCAATTCCCTGTGAGCAGATGAGATTTCTGATCTGAACGGTCAAGTACGGTGTTGGCCAGATGCTTCTAACAGGTCCCTATCTTTGACAGTTTAAAACATGTCTTTTCAGTTAGTTTGTTTTTAAGAAAATCTCTCTGCTAATTATATATTTGTGAAAGCATAAGCAATAATTAAGACCTTTTTGTTTACAAACATGACTCTTATTTAAATAGTGTTTCTTCATACCAAAGAGAGCAACAATGTAATTCCTCTTTAAAGGCAAGGTGCCCTCAGGCTTTTGCAGTCTACCGATATTTCTAAATTACTGTACTTATTGCAGAAATGTGTCCACTTCAGACAGAAGCTGCCAGGATACTGGAAAGAGAGTATGTTAAACCACTGGTTTGACATACTTTCCCACCATACCTACAGCCTCACTGAGAGTCTGGAGGACCATTATCACATGGATGAAGAGGGATCCTGAGTACTGTGTCCATCATAACATACTGATTAGAGAATTATAGATTAAACTAGCATACGTTCCATATGCCTCAGGTAACATCTTATTTCACAGATGAAGAAACTGACGTCCTGAGGCTGTAGCTTTCCCAGGACCGCACAGCCTTTCAAAGAACTAACACCAGAACCAGGTCTTCTGACTTATGGTCCAATGTGTTTTTTCCTCCAACCCAGCTGCAGACACTTTGTAGTATCAAACTTAAATTTTTAGAAATGTTCCTATTAAAATCCATAAACCTGTATTCAAAATGGAGCATTATATGAACAAATTTACTACTTCTAGAAATGTACAGCTTGGATAGTAAATAAATGATTACTAAATAAATAGAAAATTAGCTCCTTCATTTATCCCCTTTCCTCATTTCTAATAAAAGGGCCCCATAGTACTAAAGACTCCTGTCAAGCACGAGAAGAATTAACAACTTAACTCAGTTCAACCCTATGTAATTAGTAGATAATTTGGTGTAACAGGAGTCATGCATTAGTCTAGACTCCTAGCAATCCTTCCAGTGTCTACTCATCTTATTACTTGGCAGTGAGACAGAACACTTTTTTAACCTAAATGTCACTCTGACATTAGAGTTGTTTTTGTTTATTTCTGTCCCCAATTTTTGTTCATGGCTAAGAATGTTACCCTTCTTCCAGGTGACACTTGATGTCCTGGTTGTCTGTATGTAAAAAAAAAAAGAACTTAAAGCCTGTCCTAGGACACAATGTTATGAATAAGGATCAGCTGTTGGATTTATGGAACAGTCTTTCTGCTGTCTCTCCCTGGCCTCTTACTGCTCCATTTCATCTTGGGTGTCTAGAATCTTTGCTCCAATTGAGTCTGTGCCCTCCTGCCCCTGCCCCAGACTCCTGGGCCCCACAGGACACAGGGCATTGCTCTTTACTAGCTCTTGACCACTTTTGGTTAAGGACATTGGCTAACAGAGGACCAACTACATAGATCTTTCTTCTGACTTGAGATGAATTCTCTGAGAGGTAACACTGTGATACTTGATCTGTCTTTTCAGGACACTGTTTCAGTTCATAGACCAAGTTTTTATGCAGACAGATTTCTAAAGTTTATGAATTCCAGAGTTTTCAAGAAAATTCAAGGTAAGATTCTTGTAAAAATTTTTTACTTTTAGCACTTACTTGCTGACTTTACTGTTTTTGTAAGATTTTCATTGGAAGAGTTGGAGCTGTTTCTTTCCCTACAGTAGTAATCACTTAGTAATTATGACTAAGTATCCCACTCAGGTGTTTATTGATGCCATGATCATTAGAGTCCTATTTTGTGTTGAAAAAAATGGAAGTTATCTAAATGTCTAACCATATAATACATTGATTAAATATATTATGATATAGTCAAATGATGGAATAGTATACAACCACTAAAAATGATATGTTAGAGGTACATTTCCTCCTTTAAATATAGATTTATTCACATATATGTAGTTATAGGTCTATATACCTTAAATGCATAGCAGAATTCTGATGGGATATATAAAACTATTAACAGTGGTTATTCTCATGGAACATGCTCCAGGATAAGCCATACATTAGGCCACAAAACAAGTCTCAATAAATTTTAAAAGATTGGAATCCATCATACAAAGTATCTTTTCTGCAGCAGAATTCTGATGGGATATATAAAACTATTAACAGTGGTTATTCTCATGGAACATGCTCCAGGATAAGCCATACATTAGGACACAAAACAAGTCTCAATAAATTTTAAAAGATTGGAATCCATCATACAAAGTATCTTTTCTGATCACATGGAATGAATCCATAAAGAATGAAAAGTGGAAAATTCACAAATATAGTAAAATCAAGCAACACACAAACTACCAATTAGTTAAAGAAGAAATCACAGAGAAATTAGAAAAAAAAACTCAGAGGTGAATGAAAAAGGTAACACACATACCAAAAATGTATGAGATTCTGTGAAGGCAGTGCTCAGAGGAAAATTCATAACTGAAAACTCCTACGTTTAAAAGAAAGAAGAAAAATCTAAAATCAATAGTCTAACTTTAAAACTTGAATAACTAGAAAAAGAAAACTAAACCCAAAGCTAACATTAATTATTCCAAATTGTGAGGTTATGTGGGATTTTATTTTATTTTATATCGATATTTATTAAATTTTCTACAATGGATATGTGGTATTATGTAGTAAGATTTTAAACTAGTTGAAAAAGAGAAAGTAATCCTATTATACATATGTTGTTATTTTATCGTGTAGCTATTCTGTTTTCCAGTTTTATAACTCAAAATGTAAGTTTAGTGACACAAAAAACTGAAAAAGTAGAAGAATGTTCATGTTTTATGTTTAAATAAGACATATTTTTTAATATTTATTGGAATTTTCTGTTAATGAAAGTAAAACACTTTCAGTGTAAAAATTTTGGAAAATACAAGAAGATGGAAAGAAAACAATGAAAATTACTTGAAATCCCACAACCCAGAGATATTCACTACTGTTATTTTGATGTACTTCCTACCAATCTTTAATTCTATGCTTTACATATTTATATAAAATTGGTAGCATAATGGTATATAATTTTAGGTATTTTTCATATAACATCATAACATGAATAGTTTCCCATATCATTGTATATTCCACAAAGACACCATTTAAAATTGCAATACAACATTAAAATGATATGGGAGTGCCATAATCTATTTAAACATTCTTTCAGTGTTGGGCCTTTACATAGTTTCTCCTTTTCTATTGCTAACTAATATTTTTATGAATATCATTTCAGATAAATGTTGTGTCCAAACTTAAGGTTATTTCTTTGGCATAGATCCCAGCAAGCTATACTAGGATATTAAAATGCATATAACTTCCCAGAGAGATTGTGCTATTGAAGGCTCCCACAAGAGTCTGTATTCTACCAGCCCATAGCCAACATCATGCTTTTTAAATTATGCTACTTTGATAAGTAAAAAATGTTATCTGATTGTTTTATTTTGCATTTCTTGTGTACTGGAAAGGTTCAACCATTATTCATGTTTGTTTGCCATTTGTAATTCCTTTGAGAGTTGAGCTTCGTAACATTTGACCATTTATATGGGGTGTTTATTATTTTTCCAGATGATTTATATGAACTCTACATATTGAAGGTATCAGCCCCTTTTTTACTTATTTCATTCTAAGAAAAACTTTTTTTCACATTTGACTACCTCAATGGTATCTTAAAGTGGCTGTCAAATTGAAACCAGTATAAATTAAATTCTCTGCCTAAGGCTTTTTTTTGGCCGAAGATGGACCATAAAATAGTGTTTATTCAGACTGCAAGCCTGTGTGAATACGATCTTGTGGTTCAAATTTTCAAGGAAAGTTTTCTATCTCCTGTATCAGTCTGTTTCTGATGCTTATAACAGTATACCTGAAACTGAGTAATTTATAAAGAAAATGACATTTATTTCTTATAGTTTTGGAGGCTAGGAAGTCCAAAGTCCAGGGAACACATCTGGTGAGGGCTATTTTCTTGGTGGTGACTCTCCACAGCAGTGCAGGGTATCACATGATGAGAATGGGCTGAGCAAGACAGGACTAAACTCACTTGCTATCCTTATAAAGCCATCAGAACCACACCCATTGCTCCATGAATGGATCAATCCAATCACAAGGCCACATTCCTCATAATCTAATCACCTTTTAAAGGCCCCTTCTTTTTTTTTTTTTTTTTTTTTTTTTTTTTTTTCCTCTTTTCCGGCAAAAGATCCCACCCC